GAGCCGCGCGATGCCGAGCTTTAGCCAGGCGGAAGACGAACTTGTCCCCTTCTCGGCCTTCCAGCTTCTCGTACAGGGCGTCCATTTCCGTATTCTTGGCCTTAGCAACGGCTGCCTTAGCGAGTCGCTTGCAGCTCTTGTAGGCAGCGTAGTCTTCTGGGCTCCGTGTCTTTTGCCAGCGTTTATATGCTTCCTTCTTCTGCTTGACGATCCTCTGGACTTCCTCGTTCCAGAAGCCAGGCTGCCTTGTCTCCTCTGATGCCACCGCGCGTCTCTCCCAGGACTTCCTTTGCATACTGTGGGATGACCTCCTGGACTGGCCCATGTGGCTCTAGAAGCCCAGCCTCCAGTATTCTTCGGCCGAGGCTATCCTTTTCTACCTTGCGCATTTTCCACCACCGAATTCTCGCTCTGCTCTCACCCTCCTTGGGGAGGTCTATGGCGATGTCTGCCAGGAGAGGCCTGTGCTGAGGGCCCAGCTCTTCCCCAGGCAGTACCTTGATATCCTTGACGGTTTTGAGAGACGATCTTCTGACCAGGACATGGTCGATTTCCGTTTGTCTCCCTCCACTGCTGTAGGTTACCTTTTGGGTCCTCCTTTTCGCGAAGAAGGTGCTGCAGATTGCTAAGTCGTGGGCTGTGGCTAGGTCAAGGATCCGTTCTCCCTCAGCGTTCTTTGCCCTATTCCTTGGCCTCCGTGCACCCTTTCTAGACCCCTTCTGTCACTTCCCACATGGCCATTCAGATCCCCAGCTATGGTGAGGTAGTCATCTTCCGGAACCGATCTTATGGCCTCGTCCAGGGTCAGGTCATCCTTTTCCGCCTCGGAGCAACCGGATTGTGGTGCGTACACGGTCAGTACTGTCCAGTACCCCTCCTTCGTGTCCATTCTCACTCCCATGATCCGGTCACTGATCCTGTTCACAGTGGAGACGCAGTCCTTGAGGGATTCTGCCACCGCTATGGCCACGCCATTCCGTTTGGTGTCTGCTCCATTGTAGAAGAGTTTGACGCCTTCTCCAATCTCGCGGGCCTTCGCACCCTTCCATCGCGTTTCCTGAAGGCATAGGACTTGGATATTCCTGCGTCTCATGAGGTCGGCAACCTCACGAGACTTCCCGGTAAGCGACCCCACGTTCAGGGTCCCAATTCGAACTAGCTTCTTTGGCCGAGGTCGTTCACCCCTCGGTAGCCCTCGCATACTGACCACAGAACTCGGGCGATTCTGCGCGCCACTTCCGGGTGACGTCCTAGCATTAACACTGATTCTATTGCGACTTGTCATGATTGTTGTGACGGGTTCCTCCATCAGCCGGCCTGTCAACCTGGGCCTGACGCTGGTATCGTCCCCATTTTTGCAATTTTTGCAAGGCAGGTTTGTGCCTCGGCAGGGATTGAACTCGTGGCTCAGGGTGTGAACGTGAGTCTACACTCTTAACCACTCGGCTATCCCTGCCTCGGTTGAGGAATGCATCAAAACCAAAAATTCTTATTAATCTTGAAAATTCTCTGTTTTTGTAAAATATCTTCGTTCATATTTTCAAAAGATGATTTATTCAGAGGCACATGAGCAAAAAATAGATGCTCGCCAAACGAGAGCCCATCTCTGTGCCAGCACCACGCCAGGCATCAGACCAATCACGCCATAGCGCGGTGCTGTCAGCAATGCGTTTTAGATTATTTACGGCTTATAACCTTGATTTGCGTGATGGTTTCGGTGGATACCGTTCTAATTTGGTTTATACGTTTCACTTTGCGTCCGGCCATTGAGCTGCGGGCAATGGACTAATGTGGAATGCGACACCGCGGATTGTCAGCATCGCATGTCCAGTAATCTTAGGTGGCTTTTTTTATTGAATTTATGTCAGGATGTGGCTTTATGCGCAATGGCTTGGCGATGACCAGCCCGATGGAATGAGTTCGATTTCTTATCTCCGAGAGCAAATGGGTTTATGCAGCTATGGTCTTGCTTGGTTTGGTAGACTGTTGCATTGGGAGGACTAGCTGATACAATTGGTTCTTCGCACCGCTACGAGTGTGATGAGGCGCATTTGGCCACTTCGTCGCTCAAGGACTCCACCCGATTCTTTGCGAGTTTCAGGTGGCAGCTTTGGTTTCCATATTTGCAGTCAGTGGTCGCGTTTATGGATTTATTCAGGTCTAAGGAGAGACTGGTTTCGAATTTTCATAGCCCTTTGAAAGGTGACTATCCTGATAGAGATTGGAGTGATTATTTCAAAATGGTGATCGAGTGAGCATCGGTAGATGTTTTCTCCGTAGGCATTTTATGCAAGGGGTTGGGTGTACTCACCGATTCGGAAATGTTCAGTAGTTAGTTTTTGGTCCCTAATCCTTGAACGGCGAGGCCGCCATTCTAAAATTATTATCATTCCTTGCAATAAACTCAAAAGCATTTCGCAAATAGATGTGAACATTGGTCTGCCTTGGTTTTAGTATACTTGCATTTGTCACATTGGCGCTGTGACGGGCTATGAGATTGTGTAGTTTTGCCCTGATGGCTAGGGAAAGAGACATAGTCGGCAGGTGTGTTGCTACGGAAAATCCGTTTTGTTCAACTGTGGAGATGAATACAATGGTGAAACGGCTAGGCCACTATGTGCGTCAAGGAGCATCTGGATGGATAATCTAGACTGCGTGTATCCCCATTAGGAGAATGTCAGCAGGTAGCAAGCCACAACGGAGACATTTTTGGGTCCACGTGTAAGAGGTTTTAGAGCGCGAAAAACCCAACCTTCCCACTGCGAATAACTCTCAAAGCATTCTGGATTCACGAATCCAAGAATGAACCGAAGGGGAGAATGCTTATCAATCACGCGAGAGCTATCTCCCTATATAAGATTAGCATTTAATGGCTCTGGATAGTCTCAGTTCGGAAACTTCCATCACTGAGGCTCGTCGTTTGATCCGGTGAATCCGGTTGAGGTATGTTAGCTGTTTCACTCGTATTACGTGCTGGACTTAGTGGGGTCGAAAGGGTAAGGACTGCGTTTGATGCTGGCTCGGAGATCATAATTCGGCTTCACTCTTTCAGGCTCCGAAGAAGGCGAAAACCGCCGAGTGCCGAAACGTCAGCCGATCAAACGTTATGATCACCTCGTCGGGTATGGCAGAGTTTTTTTAAATCATACACATTATGCAAATTTATTGTGGTTCTTTTTTCCGCGTTGGGAGTCTAAAATAAAAGAGTGGGGCATACTCGTATGAAGCGACATTTTGGAAGTGTGGGTTCGTTTGTACATGTCAATTCTGGTCAAGAATTTCAGTTCCAGGAACTGATTGGTGACAGAGTCCGCATCCTTTTCGTTTGGCGTCGCACAGCGTGCTGAAGGTTTTTGTACACGGTTAAGTTGATCCATACTATTAGGATGCAGGGTTGGCGAGGCCTGTTTTGGTGAGACGCACATAGATTAGTTGGCTGCTTGATCCGAACTTGGAATTACGAAGCGTGGAAGGCGTAGAATTTATAAGAGCAGTGGTTGTTGACAGACAGTGTGAAAGAAGCATTCTCGCGCAATAAGAAGAGGGGGCTTGTCAGGCGTTTTACGACAACCAGCCAGCTGACAGTTTTGGCGAACCTACAGAGAAACAATGTTGCGGAAGAAGCTGTCGATGGCTCGCGAGAGAACGACTTAGGACGCCCATTCGAGATGTCAATTAAAGAAATGGATTCACGCGCGATGGAGAGCGGCACCTTTACCGATTTGCTAAGACTCGTCATCACCAGGCCGAAGATATGGGGAAGTTCTCTGCATGAGCGACAAGGGTGGCCAAAACTGCAACCCACCGGTTACAATGTTGCTCAGAAGATAATCAAGAGCGGAATGGTCGCGTGAGAAAACAATTGACGAGGCCGACGTATGGTTGACGAATGTTTCCAATCAGTTCGTTTCTAATAAGGAAAGAATGGCAGGTTTAAGTGGCCATTCGAAATGAGATGTATACGGACGAAGAGGAACGGGGAGTGAACGAACCACAGTTTCCTATTATCTGGCTAGCGGAGCGTGCCGAGAGCAAAGTTACGATGCCGCTCTTTTCTTTTCCTTTTCAGGTTCGTGATAGTGATTCGGGCACATTTCAAGTACGAGCTCGCGGGCGTAAGGGCAATCCTGTGTTTGCCCTCGATTAGCCACAGCGTGCGCCGGTGCATGCTGTTGGGATAGGTCCCAAGGGACGGCATATCGTCGTGGTTTTTTGAGGCATCGTTGATGGTGGTTCGTTTTTGTTCCTCGTTTTGCACTTTCTCGACAGGCGGTTTCGGTTGTGCGGCACTGCGTGACATTGCTGGCATAACTCCTTGTGCTTGCATAATCTCATCAAGACGTGTTTTGTTAAGCGATGGAGGGCCCATTGTGGACGATTAATGGAGATTATTATGTCTGGGCTGTTCAATGTGGTTCACATTTGGCTTTCATTGTGCGCGGTTTTGGTGGCTGCTGTCTAGCAGCAAAAGTGTAGAGTTTTTTTAGCTAGCGGGTTGGTGGGGGTGGCGAAAGTACGAATATTTGTAGTAGCGTAAAATGCTTCAGGCGGTGTTTATTGTACAAGTTTAAAGTTGGTTCGCGTCTGCATTTCGTGGTCTTTTGGCAGGAGCTGCCACGATCATTAATGCACGGCCGGGTGTGTGAACTCCAAGTATGGTCGCTTCATTTCTTGGTCACTGTGTGTGGTTCTTCGGGGTCCATCCATATTTGGGGTGTCCGTTTGGACAGGAACTCATTGGAAACGGTCGCAATTAACTCTCGGAAGGCAAGCCCTTTCCGTTTGCCAGTGGCATTCTTCTTTTTGAGAGAAAGTAATTATCCTTGGATGAAGAAATGAATAGATTAGGGAGTATCAGCCAGAAGCAGGAATGTTCTCCTGAATCGTCCACAATAGCTCCATCGGCATGGTAGCATCGCGAATTGAATTAACAGCGCTGATGCGCTGATCATTTGTTTTCAGCAGCATTCGTGAGCATTTTGTATGTAGGGTTTCACTACTTAAACGCACATCCTTTTCAAGTCATCGAAAGAGGGCCTAGCAACTGGATCGTCTTCAAAGCAGCTCATCATGATGGCAGATTCTTCTGCTGGCATATCTGGCGGCGGTCTAAGTCGGAGTCCGTTGAAAACGACCTTCTTTCGCACATCGTGCAACTTCTGCAATTATTACTATGCAAATTGAAGTTTCCTACTCCCTATCCTCGAAGTGAAATAAAAGACTCGCCCACTAACCGAAATGTCCTTGTAAGGTGTTTCTCCGTTAGAAAAAACTTCAAACATTAGTACTCCACAGCTCCACACATCACTTTTGTGTGAATACATACCTTTCGTCAATACTTCTGGTGCTAGCCATCTATAAATTCGAAATTTTTTTCTGGTTATTGATCTAGATCAGGGAGAACAGTGCTCCGTTGTATGAGCTGAGCGCAAGCTGGAGTTATTTTATTAAAAGGTGGACAATGTATAGGTCGGTCACCAGCCTAGAATGACGGCCGTTCACTCAACCCCATTGAGGCGAACGTAACTACTAGTAGATTAGAAACATCTTTAGGCTCCACCTAAGTGAAAATTATGATGCCTCTCCGCAGTCTCAGCTATCGGGAAATTTTCTGTTAAGGATGCCACATGAGTTCCGTCAGTCTGACAACAGTGCGCCGAGTGGTGGTGGCTGAGGTTTCTCATCGGTTTCGGAGCAAGTTGAGTCCACTGAATTAGATGGAAAGCCGTGAAATTTTTTTTGACACTGAACATTCGTTCTGAAAGGTGTTCCGCTACATTTGAAACGCATCTATAACTACAAGTTCAGTTCCAGTCCATGAAGGCTGTGCACATGTCAGTATGTAAAGTCCATTTTCATAAATATTGGTGTAGTAAGGGCAATAGTACATATACAAAGAGAGCAGTGGCGGCCATTATGTAGATCTGATACCTGATCGGTACTTTGACCAGCGTTTTCTCTTTGTGAGAGTGTCCCAGTAATGACAATCCAAAATCGCTGATCTTGCATATATCGTTGGAACCGATAAGACAATTTCTAGCAGCGAGATCACGATGCATCACCTGAACACCTAGCACCTCAGCAACATTATCGGTTTTTCAACACAAATGAAGCTGAAGAGGGGAGAGGTCCACGATGGCATCCGAAACTTTAATATATACAGTAGGGGTTTATTGATGGCCTCAAGTTTTGATTGGAAGGCCGTTCTGATCCCGAAAGCTTATTCCTGAAAGTTAGCAGGATACGGATGCCATTCCTGCTAGATATTATTTGCACTAACAAATGCTATTGCAGCTAGCACCGAGCTGCGCCCTTCTGCTTGCTACGTGGTGGACTGGTTGGTTCTTTTGCAACTATGATTCTCAGTGGAGATCAGATCTCTTATATAGACTATTCTAAACAGTTTTCTTCTTACAGTTTCTCCGTTCTCACATCTCATTCCTTTCTCAATCAAACAGTTGAGTACTGCAGCCTCAAATCAAAAGTCCCATGAGAGAAATGTCCACACTATCTCATTTTTATTGCCCCAATCACCACTCACCGACATGTTTCTCTGGAAGGAGATTAGTCTAAAAATTAGTCCATTAGAGGTAATTTAAATAACTTTCTGTACAGGAACCCCACATCCGATTGTTCCGAACCCATTTGGCGCCCGCGCCACAGACGCAGAAGCCGAAACACGCTAGATCACCGAACACATCAAAAACTTGTTCCCAAGAGCAGTTTGACCTCCTGAACACGAATATCACATCTGAATGGGGTGTCGAGAAAACTCAGGACGTAGAGGATCAAGGGTACACGTGATAGCGCAACCTGCTTTTGTCCATGTGCACCATGTCCCCAAGGTATTAGCCATTCCTCTAATGAGGCTTAGCCTCAGTAAAGAGAAGAATCCCTACTGCCGCAAAAGTTACAAAGTAGAAAAAAAAGCTTCACAGCAGATGATGATCCCTTTCTGAGCCATTTGGGTCCCTCCGGGACTACGCATTACGCGACACTCGGCTCCGGCAGCGAAAACTCGAATCTGGGAATCCCGCTGAGTAACAACCGCCCCGGGAGGTCACAAAAAGGCACGTGTGTTGTCGGCTGCTGGGGTGCTACAGCCGCAGGTCTTCGGGGTTAAGTCGAATTTGAAGTCATATTCGTGCTAAAGAGGTAAACTATAGACCGATGTCCAGCTAAACAGCAATTTTAACTTTAATATTGAAAATTGAGGCAGTGAAAGGTTAATAGTGCTCACATGTCTACGAGCAATCAAGAGAATATAGCATTATTCCACTTTTAATATGACCGATAGAACGACTGACAAAACAGGCAACAGCTTGTTCTTCGCTTTTGTAGAAGCGCTGTTGACTGTCCTAGCAGCAGAAGAGACCTCGCACGCCATTTGACCACTATGCGAAGCGATTGAGGACCGGTTGGAACCCTCTTAGAAGAAAACTGACTTAGACCTTCAAATAGTCGGATGCAAACTTGGCCGACAAAGAGTCCTATCTAATCTATTGGAATCGATGATGCTACTTGCAATTCGGTGCGCTTTCTTTGCCGGCCGAGATTGATACAGATGCTGACATCGCCTTCTCCAGAGCCCGCAATTCGAAGCTATCATCGAAACAACCCACCCAATGACCATTTCACATTAAGGTGAGAAAACACGGGCTAGGAGACCTCAGAACTAGGTCGTAAAACCACTGATGTTCTGTGAGACAGGAGTTCTACCGGTTTCTCTAAGTCTTAAGACTGCATGATACTTTTATATATGTTTTTGAAACTATCTTCAAGTTCCTCTGTTGGTCCAAGTGTCAATAACATAAAAAGTGCGCAGTTGAGACTCAAAGTGTCGGTAGTTATAGGATCTCTCAGCCTGGGTTTTTAAATCCTGTATTGGGATATGGTTATCGGGTGAGTTGTTTCTTCGAGCTGCAGGCTCCGAAGAGGGCGATGTTCGCCGAAATGTCAGCACAACAAAATCTGTATCAATCACGGAAGGCAGAAAAGCATACTGAACTGTTACGTTTCTAATGCCGAGAATGATCGAAAGCGGGTCGTGTGTTATTCCGGAATAGGACGAAAAGTCCACTTCAACGCACGTTGCTTGGCTTTGCAGCACCTTGCCTTAATGTTGCAAGTCTAGAAGGCTAGACAGTGTCGGTGTTTTTCGAGTCACTAGCAGCTGTTTTTCTTCGTTGTTGCAGGAAAGAATAACGTCTCCAGGTGAACATTCCGTTTCTACGTCTTCTCTTCAAAAACTCCTAGCTAGAAATCGTGGCATAAGGACAACAAGCAAAAGCACTCTTTCAGGCCGCAATGGGTCTGCACTTTAGAAAAACTGATCGCAGGTTCCCTTATAGGGTAGTGCAGGCGAGCAGAGATGTTAGAAGCTTTGTCGGCTATGTTCTTGGACAAATGCAAAAAAGGGACCTGCCCCGGAACCGATCCTACGACGTCTCGCCTAAGAAACCCGCTCCCTACCCGTTGCGCTCTGCTACCACGTTTCAGAACGACTCCATACATAAATGTAAAGACGCTTCCACGTTTCCTCGCGATAGCATGTGAAACGACCATGCGGGGATAAAACCCTCCATAACTCCGTTCAGAGAATCGTTCTGCAAATTTTGAAGACAGTTCTGAGTTCACCGTCCCAAGACGCGTACAACGGTGTGCAGCTCATTGGAAATGGCCGGACTGACCTGATGACCTTTCCTGGTAAGGCTCTTTATGTTATCTTATCAGCTGTTATCATTCCTGCCACCCACCAATAATGTTCCCATCCTGCCCCCTATCTTACTACTTGATCCAACGTCCCGTCGTTGCTCTGGCCGGTGTTATGAATTAGGTAACCCACTCCTAAGGCTCCTTATGGTATCTTATCAGCTGTTATCACTTCCTGCCACCCACCAATAATGTTCCCATCCTGCCCCTATCTTACTTCTTGGAACCAACGTCTCGTCGTTGCTGTAGCCCGCGCTATGAATTTGGTGACCCTCCCTTCTAAGACCCCCTGTGGTATCTTATCAGCTCTTATCAGTTCCTGCCACCTACCAATAGTGTTCCTGCCCGACCCCCTACATCACTTATCAGTTTGAGCGCTCTATCGCTCTTTTGAAGGAAGTTATGAATTTCCGGTCAAACACACATACACACACCAACAGACAAAACTTAGCTGATTACATACAAGGTCCGTCGCTCTGACGCGCGTTATGAAGTCGGTGAACTTTCCTCTCTAACGCTCACTTGGCTGCGTAATCTTATCGCCTGTTATCTTCTCCCTGCCCACCGCACCAAGAACCAGTCCGCCCCATCCTGTCCTCCTATTTTTACCGTTTCTTGGGCATCCCACCAAGTCCTACTTACGCCCTGCTGTCGCACGGGGTTGTGAATTTGTCCTCTCCGTGAACCACCTTCCAAGGCACCTTATGGTATCTTATCACCTGTTATCACTCCCTGTCACCGACCAGTAATGTTCCCATCCTGTCCTCTATCTTACTTTTTGGAACCAACGTCCCTCCGTTGCTGTGGCCCGCGCTATGGATTTGGTGACCCTTACCTTCTAAGGCTCCTTATGGTATCTTATCAACGCCTACCACTTCCTGCAACCTATCATTGGTGTTCGTGCTCGACTGCCTGACCCTTCAGATCACTTGCAATTTCAGCGCTCAGTCACAGTTTTGAAGGAAGTTATGAAATTTACGCCGCACACACACACACACACACACACACACACACACACACACACACACACACACACACCAACAGACAATCTTAGCAGATTATATATAGTAGGATTTGACTCACCTGTTGCGATTCTAAATATTGCATGCCGCATATAGCTTCATAACAGTAGTTCCGTTTATTAGTGAGAGCAACTATTTCCGATTTAACTTTGTGGAGCAGAGAACCACCTAAAAAGGCTTGAATGATGGGTTTCAAATAGGTGCGAAAACGACGCAATGCAATCACATTATTAAATACGCATATGTATTTTGCAGGCATGCATGCACACTAGTGTATCGCATCGGCATGCATGCACACTAGTTGTGTTTGACCGGAAATTCATAACAGCGAGACATCCGTTTCAATCTAACAGGGAATACACATAGTTCAATGGGAAGGAAATACGGGAAGAGGGTCGAAACATCTGACGAAATCTAGTGAGAGCCGCCAGAGAGGAGACGTCAGTAAATCGCAATGATTTCAGGCCGAAAGATAACGGTGCTCTAGTATTTATGAGGACAGATGTGATGCTTTCATCTTTGCATTCTCTGTATGGGAGCGTGTGAATCGGCTTAATCGTCTTCCTATTCTGTCATCTTCGCCTCTTGTCTATCGAACGCAGCGTCGCCTTGCTTTTTCGTGTGCTCTTCCAGTGCTGGAGCTCCATTTGGAACGTTTCCAATCATTCCCTTCACCTTTTTCTTGGTACAACTCTAACCATGTCATTAGAATGTCTTCAAAGGCAGCAGGCATGATAAATCCCTAAGACGAGTAGGACCAATACGTTTGGCAGGACGGAATTCCGCGACCCTGAGCAGGCGCTGCGTAGCGCCTTTCCCAAGGAAGGTACCCTTATAAGGCCCTATCAAGCTGCAACATACCGACCCGAACGCCCACCCGCCCGCCCGCCCACAAATGGACGACCGCACCTTGTGCTCGCATTGCTAAGTAAACATGATGCAGCCTTCATTCTTCAGTGCTTGAAGGGACCTCCAACTCTGCAACAGTTCTGCTACCTCCAACTTTCGAGGCAGGTTGAGGCAGCAGAGCTCTGCCATGAAAAAAATGTTCATCTCAAGTAGCTTTTTAATGAAGTAATACACGTTAACAATGGCCTCCTGGCGCTCTCGAATCACTAGTCGCGAAAGTGATAAACGAAATCATCTGTGAGTCAATTTTAGTACATGTTTAGGAACGAACACGGACCTTGCATGCAAAGGAGGTAACTCTCAGGTGATCGTGTTTCTCAAGTTATCCTACTTTATAATTTACTAAGTATGTCTGTAAGTGTGTGTGTGTGTAGGTGTGTGGGTTCTCCTGTCTGTCATAAAATTCATAACACCTG